ACCCAGGCTGGAGATTAGCTTCGGGATTAGCCCAGCTTCGGCTGCTCCTGGCGGCTTCTTATCTCCTGGAGGCTGGGCCCTCTCCCTCACAGCTCTGAGCCCTGGACCTGCTAATTGCCTGTTAACCCCCGTGGGCTCTTTCACTGCTGGGAGGATGAGGGGTGAGGAGGGGTGGGAGAAAATGCAGGCACGCCAGCCAGGGCAAATGGGAGCTGTGGTTAGATAGAACTCAAGGGACAGAGAAAAGCCACCGCTCAGATCTCTCCCAGCCCCTGATGGTTGACTGGGGCAGACTTGGAGGAAGGGCAGGGTGAAGGAGGGGAGAGCACCAGGGGAGGGGTTCCTGAGTTGAGGGGAGGGGCAGCCTTAGGCCCGGGGAAAAGTCTAAGAGGAAGACAAGAGACAGAGACTGGACAGCCAGACTAAGGGACTGACGGAGAGGAAAGGGGGAAAACAAGCGAGATGGGGATGTAGACAGCAAAGGAAGGAGGTGGGGGGTGGGAAGTGGGGAGGTGGAGGAGGGGCAGGTAGCCAGGCCAATGGGAGGGAAAGACAGAGGCCAGGGGGATGGACAGACCAACAAAAGGCAAGGGACAGAGAAACAGGGGCCAGATGGGTAATTGATTAGATGCTAAGGACAGACAGGCCAGGAGGAGGGACTTGAGAGACAGACTGAGATCAGGGGACAGAGGCTAAGGAGACAGACTGACCTAGAGCAGGTCCAGGCTAACACTAAAGGGGGGGTGGTCGAGAGGGACAGGTAGAGGCTGGCCAGAAGGAAGGTGGTGGAGGGGTCCAAGGGTCTGCATACAGTACAGATTCTTATCAAGCAGCTGTCTAGCCTAGGTCCAGAAGGGCTCTGGGAGGCCATGTGCTTGTCCCAGGGCCAGGAGGGTGGACCTGGGAACTAAGGCAGAGAGCAAGGAAGGGCAGAGAAGAGGGAGGGCCATTTGAAGGTGGAGGAGGGGCCTGAGATGGGGAGAGGGTCCAGAGGCTGAGGGCTGGTGGTGGGTGATCAGGAGATAGCCCCTCAACCCATCCGGGCACATCCTGGCCCAGAAAATGCCCCTTTCCATGGCTGAGCCCTGGACTCTCAACTCCTGTACACATGCCCTCCTTTCAGGCCAGTCCGCGGGGAGAGAGCAGTGGACAGCCAGTGGGACCTTGTGGCTGAGTGGCCGTGCCGTCTCCATGGAAGAGGCTGTGGGCTGTGCTGCCACAAATGTTCTGCCACTTAGGAACTGGCAGCTCCACCTGCTGCTGCCTGCCTGACCCAGGGACCGTCGCCAGAGCAACGTTATGCTCTGCCCAGCAGTTGGGCCTGACCCAGGGGGCTGTGCAGGTGGCCTGGCCCTGCCAGTCTGGCCTATCCATTTCCTGCAAAGTATACCCATCAGACCCAGAGTCCTCCCACTCATCTCCCTTTGTCACATCCACTCTGCAAAGCCACCTCGAGGCAGGGGTACCAGATAACCACTCCCCGCCAAAGCCATTAGAGCCAAAGCCTTCCCCATTGGCTTGACCCTGCAGTGGGCTGGGCTCAGTGTCATGCAATGTGTGTCTGTGTGTATACATGTTGGAGGCATCAGGTAGGGAAGCTGCCCTACCTGATGCTTCCCAGGGTCAGGAATCTAACTGAGTCATTCATTCACTGAACACTACCAGGTGTTTTATAAGCACTCTGTTTTGGCATTGGGCTTAGTTCTGTTTGAATCTCTGCTGTCATTTACTTGCTGTATGCCCTTGTCCAAGTCACTTTTCCTGTCTCAGGTTCCTCATCCTTATGTGTTTGTCTTGGAAGCTCAAAGGAGAAAATAGATCAAAGGCAGAGAGCACAGGACCTGATACAAAGTAGGGATGTTTGATAGTGTTTGCTTTGCATGTCTTCCCTCTATCTCGTGCCTCCTGCAAACTGTCCTCGGCTCTGGGGAGGCCAAGATGGTAAAGAGGGCTCTGGCCTCAGGCTGTCCACAGTCCCATGCATGAGGCTGAGCTGTGGAAAGGCCATGAGTTGACAGCAGTCAGAGGTCTACTGAGGCGGTGCAGCATGCTGGGGGACACAAGTGAGCAGTTTGTTACCCTGTTCCTCATGCAGATCATGCCTTGCTAGGCCTCTCAACTGGAGCGTATACTTAAAACTGGCTGCATCAGCAAAAGCTGATTCCAACATCTTGGCACTGAATAGGAAGAGGGTGGGTGCTTTGAAATTTGCGTCAGCCCAGTCGGTGTTGCTCAGTGGTTGAGCATCGACCCATGAACCAGGAGGTCAGGGTTTGATTCCTGGTCAGGACACATGCCTGAGTTTGGGCTTGATCCCCAGTAGGGGGCGTGCAGGAGGCAGATGGTCAATGATTCTCTCATCATTTATGTTTCTCTCTCTCCCTCTCCCTTCTTCCTCTCTGAAATCAATTAAAAAAAAAAAAAAAAAGAAATTTGGGGCAAATACTTATATATTCCCTTGTGCCTTTTCCACACCACTGGGGACCCAGAAGTTTTGCACCCAGCCCCCTTCAGGGTTCCCCTCTCTCTGGTGAGAGTCAGGTCTAGTTGGACTCTTTCCCCTTCATCTAGGGCCTTTCTACTCAAAGTGCAACCAGCCGGTGGTTAGAAATGTAGAATCAGTCCTGCCTCCTTCCCCTCAACACATTTAATACAATCAGAATCTGCATTTATCAAGATCCCCAGGTGCTCTGTGTGCACATGGCCACACTGAAGTTTGAGAAGCGCTGATCTTGGAGACTTTGCCAGATCAGCTCACCTCTCCAAGCCTGTTTCCTCATCTGTAGGAAATAGGGTGGTTGTGAGGATGCAATTGGAAAGAGCATGTTATGCATTTAGCACAGAGCCTGGGCCAGAAAGAGTGCTCTGGAATTGTTGGTGATGCCCACTACTGCCCCACAGATGGACACATGACAGGCAGAGGTGACACAGACAGAGTTAAGAATTAGAACCCAGAAGACGGTGAGGGTGCTTAGAAGGAGGAGGGGAGGGGCAGGTGAGGAAGTGAGGAATTGAGAGGCAGCAGGCATGGAGAAAGTGAAGAACGTGTAGAGGGAGTGGAGTGGAAGGGAAGGAGGGATGGGAGAAAAGGGGATGGGTGTTGGGTCACATTTCAGCCAAATGGGGCTGAAACAAGAGCTGAGGCTTGGGGTAGGGTGGACTTGGTGGGGGATTGGGCACCCGTATCCAGATGAATTACACCTCTCCCACTGACTAGCTGTGTGACCCTTGAGCAAATCACTTCACCTCTCTGAGCTGCGGCTTCCTGTTTGTAATGATTTGGCTAATTGAACCTACCTGATACCAGGGTTGCTGAGTGGAAGAAATGGGTCTGCGGTGGATGTCGCCGTGTTTTGTAAACCGCATGGTGCTTCTCTTGTTTTGGGAATCTGAGGCAGGTATCAGGGTGGTAGAAGAACTGTGAGGGGGAGGATCAGCAGGGTGATTAACCTAGGGAGGATGGGATACCTAACCTTGTCCCACAACAAGGGTGCCCCCAGTCCCCCAGCTCCTTGAACTCCTCACTCCCACTGCCCTCATCCCAGCCTCTCTCCCTTCTACACCCTCCCTCTAAGCTAGGCATTTAGGATATCTTTTCCCTTACATGCCTCATGCCTTTCTTCCCAGCTTTGGCCAGTATAGAAATGTTCCCAAGGAGAGGGGAGGCGGAGTGAGAGAGTGATTGAGTGCGCCGACCCCCGGCCGCCAGGGAAGGTGCTGCCTGTGATGGGTTTGACACTGGGGCTTGTCTCTGTGGGGTGAGCCTGGCAGGGGGAAACTTGCATGCACCTCTCCCTTAATCTCTTCACCCCAGCCCTGCGCAAATCTCCACCACAGCTCTGTTCCCTCCTAGCCTCCACTCCCATCCCCGGGGCGCCAGCGCCCTCTGGTGTCTACTGTAGAACTCTCTGCATAGTTAGAAGTTGGGCTTTGTTCAGCGCTGCAGTAACTGCTTTTTAAAGTGTCCTTTGCATTCCCTGGGGGCACTGGGCCAAGCGCTGGGTACACAAGACAGGCTTACTGCTCTTGTGCAGCATAAACTCTAATGGTGGGGGAGAGATGGACAATGAACTAGGATATAAGCAGATAAACAAGATCATCCCGGGTGTCGATAAGTGCTTTGAGCAAACCAACAAACATGTTGATTGATGGGTAGAGGGTGGAACTGTGAACATGTGTGTGGTATGGGAGTGTGAGTATGAGGAAGGGACACTTAAGCTGAGGTTTAAGAGATAAATAGCTAGCCATGCCAGAATGGGAGGGGGAGGCATTCCAGGAGAGGGTCCTGCATGAACAAAGGCCTGAGGAAGGAAGGCACACCATGAGTTTGAATTTGTCAGAGATCAGTGGCAGGACAGGTAGGCAAGGGTCACATCATATGGAGACTTTCAGGCTAGGGAAGGAGTCTGGCTTTATTCTGCAGGAAATGGAAAGCCACTGTTGGACTTTAAGCCAGCAGGTGACTTGGGTGGACGGAGCACTCTGGTTACTGTGTGAAAGCCCCAGAGGTGGAGGCAGAGGCAAGGGTGGAGAAGGGAAACCAGTTAGGAGCCCGCTGCCATGGCCAGGTGGTAGGTGATGGTGAAAGGGGGACATAATATGGAAGGCAAATGGATGGATTTCAGACGTAGAATTGCCCAAGACTGTTGATGGTAAGGGAGAGGGAGGTTTTGGGGCTTCTGACTTGAGAAATTTGGCAGATAGTGGGACCCTTCGCCCAGAGGAGGAGAATGCGTGGGGCCAGGATTTGGGGAGGTGTCAAGAGCTCTGCTGTTAATTATTAAGCTGGAGATGCCTTTAATCACCAAAGGGAGGATGTCAACAGAGAAGATGGAGCTCAGGTGAGAGGCTGGGCTGTGACTGATTGCTGGAATATGGGACAGAGCTGCCCAGGCAGGTCTGGTGACTGGGGGTGGGGGTTAGGGACAGGGACCCCTAAGCTTAAGGAGTTGTCTTAGCTCCTCCCTTTATCTCCGCTTCTCTTCCCTCTCACCCCACAGGTCTATACGCGCTATGGGAAGTGTTATACTTTCAATGCAGACCCTCAGAGCTCCCTTCCCAGCCGGGCGGGGGGCATGGGCAGTGGCCTGGAGATCATGCTGGACATCCAGCAGGAGGAGTACCTGCCCATCTGGAGAGAGACAAGTACGCAGGCAGGAAAGGGACAGGGCCACCTGGGGACTCTGGCCTGGGCCACCTGCCTGGGATGGCTTTCCAAAGGTCCCCGTTTCCACTGTGCAGACGAGACGTCGTTTGAGGCTGGTATCCGAGTGCAGATCCACAGCCAGGAGGAGCCACCCTACATCCACCAGCTGGGCTTTGGCGTGTCCCCAGGCTTCCAGACCTTCGTGTCCTGCCAGGAACAGCGGGTGAACACCTCCAGCTGGGCATTGGGTTGGGCACAAGGCTGGGCCTTTGGGCTTAGAGGGGATGCTGACCAGACCTGCCCTCCCATGCTCACAGCCCATCGGTCCTCCCATGGACTTTGCTGGGGCTGTGGGCACTGGAGGGCCGGATGGGACTCCTGGGCATGACCCCATCATGCCCACCTCTGCAGCTGACCTATCTGCCCCAGCCCTGGGGCAACTGCCGAGCGGAGAGTGGGCTCAGGGAGCCTGAGCTTCAGGGCTACTCGGCCTACAGTGTGTCTGCCTGCCGGCTGCGCTGCGAAAAGGAGGCCGTGCTTCAGCGCTGCCACTGCCGAATGGTGCATATGCCAGGTGGGCACCCCACCGCCCTGCCAACCCTCTGTGCCATCCTGCCAGGCTCCAGAACCTCCAGGGGCAGAGGACTGCGCATGTGCACGGGCAGGTGTATGTGTGCAACATGTGTGCATGTCTGTATCCATGTGAGTGCACATGTGTGTTGGGATTTTATGCATGTTTTAACATGTGCGCAACATAGAATGTACACAAGCATGATAATATGTACTTATGCATACAGGTGCTCATGTACATCTGTACCTGTGTACTTCTGGGGGTTGTATACATGTGCTTGTACGCATGCATATAAATGTGTGTGCATGCAAGTGTGCATATGTTTGCATGTCTATATGCATGTGTATGTTTTCATGCTTATATGCATGAGCATGCATGCATTCATGCCTGTGTATGTGTGCAAACATGCACGTCTTTGGCATGTGTGTGCACGTATGTGTGTGTGCACAAGTATGCCCACATTTGGGAATGTGGTGGGGCAGAAGGGATGGAACCATGGACTCCAGGAATAATCTTCTCTCCTTTCAGGCAACGAGACCATCTGCCCACCAAATATCTACATTGAGTGTGCCGACCACACACTGGGTCCGTGCTGCCTGCTCCCTTTTCTGCCTCTCCATCACCCTCTTCTTCACCTCTCTGTCCACCCTTCTCCTAACAGCCTTGGCTCTTTTCCTCCCAATCTCTCCCTGGGGGGTTCTTCCTGGGGTTGAGCCTTATCTGATGCCTCCAGGGGTCTGAGGACCCTTGCAGATGTGGACATTTGGGTAAGTGGAGGCAGCAGGGTGAGGGGTTGCAGAGAACCCAGGCTTCTTGTCTTGGTTCAGCAAGTGAGCTGGCCTTTCTGGGGAAGTGAAATGACTCCTTTGTTGGTGTGAGGAAAGATGAATTGCTGGGAATCTCAGTGTGGGTAAGGCAGACCCCACCTGTCCATAGGTCCTGTCTGATCTACACTTCATTCATTCATCCATCCATTCATTCATTCTACAGACGTTTACAGCCTGTGCTGGTGCTAGAGGTGAGAGTGGGAACGAGAGCCCTGCTCTTGCAGAGCTCACTGCCAGGCAAGGCTGTGGACAGGCATGAAGACACAGTGTGTTAGTCTTTGGGTAGAGGAACCTCAGGGATCCTTCAAGGCCCCAGGCAGGGGCATGCAGCCCCACCTGGGAAGGCTGGGAGGATTCCTAGAGGAAGTGACAGAGACTGAGACTTGAAGGGTGTGTAAGTGTCACCCAGGTGAAAAGGGGGACATGTTCTAGACAGTAAGAACAGTGCATGCTAAAGACCTTGTGGCCAGAGAGAGTATATGTCTGAGGCACTGAAAGATCTGTGTGGCTGGAGGGCAGAGAACAGAGGAGGGGGAGGGGAAGAATAAAGGAGGCTCCGGGAAGCCAACAATGGCTTAAGGCCAGCCGAGAATACTATCTGATTTTAGGAAGGTGACTCTGATTAGATGTGGAAAATGGATAGGTGGGGAGTGAGACTAGAAGCAGGGTGATTGGTCAGAAGAGTATGACAGTGCTCCAGATGATGGGGCCACGGGAGAACAGAAGTGATGGGCTTGAGATGCTGAGGCAGTAGAATCACATCGAGACCTTCTCTGCCCCACACACCAACTATGGCAATCAGAGCAGTGACTGAAGAGTGTCTAGTGAAGGAACAGATGTGTGAGCAGGGATGAGTGAACCACAAGGGATGGTGAGGCTCCACAGAACTAGCAACACCAGGGAGGCTTTACTCCCCTAGGCCTGGATGGGTGTGGGAAGAAAGCCCTCCTGGAGCCCAGAGAGCGAGCTGTGGCTGTCTGAGAGGGCTGATAGACAGGAGCTGTGATCACGAGAAGAGGAATGAAGCCCCTGCTAACTATGGCCTGGCAGTAAGGAAGCAGGGAAAGCAATACCCTGGTATCTCTCCCCTTCTTGCCTTCTGCTCCTGCTGGGGCCTCCCATTGGCCAAGCCCTACCCCAAGCCAGAGGACGAGGGAGTGAGGTGATGCATTTGGCAGAGTTCAGCTTCCTGGGCACAGAGAAAGATGGAGGGGAATGGAGAGTGGATCTGAAGGGGCGAACAGAGAAAACCCAGCTCACTAAGCATACATATCCTGTCCACTTGTTTTTTTGTCTGTCCATCCATCCATCCATCCATCCATCCATCCATCCATCCATCCATCCATCCATCCTGGCATCATCTCCAAATCCCTTGGGTGTCTGAGGCCTCTCGTGTTTGATTAGCTCTGGTGGGTGGGCTGTGCCCTCCCTCTCAGCCATGGGGACCTCCCTGCCCCAGGGAGCTGAGGGACAAGCCTGTGGGAGGGTGCTGGGGAGTTTTGCCTTCATCTGCTTTCTTTGGTAGTCCAAAGCTGGTCCAGGAAGGGAGCTCCCGTGCCCCATCCAGTTTCCTCTAGGCAGCGCCAGGGCTGGCCAGTAAAAGCCCTCAGTGTGGACGTGGCTGCCTCAGGACAGCCTCTGCAGCTGGTGGGCCTTTGGGCCCCCCCCCACCCCGCCACTGCAGTTGGTGCCTCTGTGTTGCAGACTCCCTGGGTGGGGGCTCCGAGGGCCCGTGTTTCTGTCCTACTCCCTGCAACCTGACCCGCTATGGGAAAGAAATCTCCATGGTCAGGATCCCCAACAGGGGCTCAGCCCGGTACCTGGCGAGGAAGTACAACCGCAATGAGACCTATATACGGTATGTGTGTGCATGTGCGTGCCTGTGTGCATGTGTGCGCGTGTGCTGGAAGCCACCCTCGGCAGGCCTGGAGCATGGTGGAGACGGGGAATAGTCTGCATCTTTGTTAATAATGAGTCTTGCTAGGAATGCTTTCACAATCCCCTTCTAACTAACCCCTAGCCATCCTCCAAGTCACATCCTTTGTCTCCACCTCCAGGCAAACCCCTGTTGGTCCAAGCGCCTTTCATTTGAGCTGCCGCAGCACCCTGTACCTATCTCTGTCATTGCATGTACCCATTGTTTTAGAGCCCTCCGTTTACGTGTTTTCTCCCCCAGCAACCTGGGGCTGTTCAATGCTGGTTGAGTGAATGCTGTGTTGAGGGAGAGGATCTAGAAGGGCTGGGAGAGGAATGAGGTGGCCTGCAGGAGGGGCCACACTGAACACTGGGTCTGGCACCCGGCAGCCGATCTACAAATGCTAAGCATCCCCTGGGTGCCAGGCCCAGTGTTGGGTCCTGTGGAGACAGAGATGATTATGACACAAAACCCATGTCACAATTTGTGGATGAGCCCACGTGTGACGGTGTGGTACTGCTTCTCAGGCCCTCAGGAGAGCTTAATGTGCATGGCATAGGGGAAGCAGGGTAGGCATGAGCTGGCCCTCTGAAGACCCTGGGCCTGTGAGAGGAAGAGAAGGGAGGAGAGAGGGGAGGCATCCCAGTTAGAGAACTGTGGGATGGTTTGGAGATTGGCCTGAGTAGGAAGGGGGTGAGAAGCAGAGAAGAAAGCAGCTTATTAAAAAGGCACAGTGCAAGTCTGGAAGAGGAATTTGGCACTCTTGCAAGTCTGGAAGAGGAATTTGGAGTGGACTGTTGGGAAGTAGGGAGCCACTGAAGGTTCTAGAAAGGTATAGGGACGAGGCAACATGAACACTATTTGCTGCTTTGGAGAAGGCAGGCAGGAATCTGCAGGCCCAGGTGTTCTTGCTCTTCCAGGCCTTTTGCTAACCCTCAAACTAACATGTATCTGGGACTGCCTCCCCTCACAGTCTATGAGAGTCTGAGGATAGTCACCAGTTTCCCTGCACAAGGGGTCTCAGACCAGCACCTGCTGGACCTGGGATGTTCCTGCCAGCCACCTCCTTGGAAGGTGGTCCCACATGGACACTGCTTCCTGTCTCTGCAGGGAGAACTTCCTGGTCCTAGATGTCTTTTTTGAAGCCTTGACCTCCGAGGCCATGGAACAGCGAGCAGCCTACGGCTTGTCAGCCCTGTTGGGTGAGACCTGGCCCAGATTCCATGGGCGTGGATCAGCTGGGCCTGCTCCCTCTGACCCTGCTTTCATGATCCCCAGGAGACCTCGGGGGACAGATGGGCCTATTCATCGGGGCCAGCATCCTCACACTGCTGGAGATCCTCGACTACATCTATGAGGCAAGGAAGGGGTCTGTCAGGGCCACCCACACAGCTAGTGGAGGATAGGAAGGGGTGTGGCAGAGGGGCAGTGTGCGTTTCCTGGTGGAGCTGGACTGGCTAGGAAGTCAAGCTCTGGGCTCTTTGCCAGGGTCCCCTGACTGACTAGAAGGCCTGAGGGTGCTGAGAAGTCAGAAGGGGAAGGAAGAGGATCGGGGACTCCCAGTGGGGGTTTGCTGGGTAGCAAGTCCTATAAGGTGAGCCTGGTTAGTCTGCCCTTCTCTACCAAGTTTCCCAAGCCCACAACTATTCCCATACCTTGCACCCCAAGGTATCCTGGGACCGACTGAAGCGGGTGTGGCGTCGTCCCAAGACTCCTCTGCGGACCTCCACTGGGGGCATCTCCACCTTGGGGCTGCAGGAGCTGAAGGAGCAGGTGAGGATGAGCCCTGCAGAATATACAGCCAGTGCCTTCTCCGGGGACCGAGTACCCCCATGGTTTCTGTACCAGCTGAGAGGGGTTCCTGGGCTACCTTGGAGCCTCTGCCACAGGGGACAAGAAAAGGCCGGTTATGTGAGGCTTGAGGGCATGCTTTGAACTCTCCCTCTCCACTTTGCAGAGTCCCTGTCCAAGCCGGGGCCGGGCTGAAGGTGGGGGAGCCAGCAACCTGCTCCCCAACCACCACCACCCACATGGTCCCCCAGGAGGCCTCTTTGAAGACTTCGCTTGCTAGGATGATGCTGTGTCTGAAAGGACCCAGGAGTCTGGGACTCCTCCCTGGATCCCCAAATAGTCTCCTGCTCCTGGGACAGAAGGCCTGGGGGCAGCCCAAGGTGGAGGGGTAGAGGGCAGTGTTCACCCGGAGGACACTCAGTTCCTGTTCTCACCAACCCTGGTGCCAGCTGCTTTGCACAAGGGCCTTCTTATCCATACCCCTATCCTGAGGTTGGTGCCTGGGGAGAACTGGAGAGCAGAACTGGGGCCCCCGTGGAGGGGAGAGGGGAGAGGGGGAGGTGGAGGAAGTGGCCAACCCCAGAAGGGGTGGAACCCTCTGTACATTTGTATATATTTAGGGAGGACAGGGTGGGGGTGGGGGACAGATATAGAAGGTGGGTGGGGCTATGGGGGAGGGCGATTCAGTGACAGCCAGGGTCCCAGCCCTAGAGTGTCAGCAGGAGAGGGCGGGCCCCCAGGAGTCGGGACTGCTGGGCTTCTCCTACTTCCTGTCCCTGTCCAGACCCAGCTCCTTGTTTGGCAGGGGGAGCGGGTGGCCCAGCAGGCCTGGCCCAGCTCCCAATTCCCCCTGCCCCATCCCCACCCCCAGAGTCCCCTCCACAGGGAGCAGGCAGACCTTTCAGACCCTGGCTGAGCTTGGGGGTGGGGAAGAAAGTCTTCTCAGGCCTCCATCTTGTCTGGTTTTATAAAGTGCTGACGAAATGAGGAATAAAGAGACATAAGGAATTCTCTGTGTGTATGTGTGACCAAGCTGAGAGCTGAGGTGAGGCTGAGCATATGCATGACTTGGTCCCCAGGAAAAGGAAATCCAGGCCCAGCCAGACAGGGAGCCTCCATCCTCACTGCCAACTCCCTCTGTCCCCTGCCTACCTTTCAAAAACTCAGGATCAGCGGTCCACACTCAGCCAGTTTATTAAAGGCAGAGAGCTTCATCGGGGTCCAGAAGGGAGAAGCTAGGAGATGCCCCACGCTCCTCTCTCAGCTCCCCCATTCCCACAAGTCATCTACAGCCCAGCCCCCAGGACTTGGAGGAAGGCCTGGCGTCAGGCAGACTGCACTACATAAATATTGCGGCCACAGCTTGAATCAGCAGTGTCAGGGGCAGGGGTTTGGGACAGGAAGGGGTGGCTCTGAGGGCACCTCCCACAGGGCTTGTCCTAAGCCCGAGGGCCCACAAGCTAGAGAGAAAGGGCCAGTGGGCTGTCCTGGAGTCTGAGGCTGTGGACAGTCCTGTCCAGGGAGGCCGACAGGTGACTCCAGGTGGTTGGGGGAGAAGCACCGCCAGGCCAGGGTTTTGGGGTACCGGGTGAGGTCAGGTGCTGTTGCCTTGCTCCTGCTCAAACAGCAGCATGGCGAGCTGGGTGCGGGAGCCCAGGCCCTCCAGCACGCTCTGGCGACAGCGATGGTACAGGTCCTCACTGAGCCGCGCACTGCATGTCTGGGCCCGGTAGCGCTGCAGCAGTGCCGGCTCCACTGCCCGCAGCACATGCAGGCTGGAGAAGCGCAGGAACAGCTCATACACATCCATGCTCTCCAGGAGCTCCTCCTCCAGCTCCGAGGCCGCTGCTAGCCGCCCTCGGGCTGCCACATAGTCAGAGTTATAGAAACAGGCCTCAGTGGCCACCTGGCGATCAAAGCGACCTGTGTCTCGGCCCAGCTCCGGAGGTCCGGGGCCCTGTGGTGGGGCCACGGCTGGGTGGAAGGCCTGGAAGTGCATGGGAAAGAAGGCCTGCCAGCCGGAGATGGCGTGCATGCGGCAGCGGTTCAGGAAGTCGGGCGTGAGCACCGTGTCCGGCCCGGCCAGCAGGAACAGCGTGTCCAGTGGGTGCTTCTTGGAGAGTAGATCCATCAGGCGCAGTGGTGATGGGGCAGCTGTCTGCACACTGAGCCAGGGTACCCGGGCACCGGGGAAACGCTGCTCTAGCTCTGCCACATGGGCCTTGACAGGTGCGAAGACATCTGCATGGGCTGCCCGCTGGGCCTGTCGTGGCTCATACAGTAGCAGCAGGGTCAAAGCTGCCGCAGCATCACCAGGCTCCAGAGCTGCTGTGGCGAAGGCCTCCAGGAAGCCAGGGGCCAGGTCGCGCTCAGCTGCAGCCAGAGGCAGTAACACAGTGAGACGTGAGGCCTCAGTGACGTAGGGCACAGGCAAGATCTCCACACGGCTCAGTGGCCGTAGCAGCTGTACCCTGTGAGTGAGGGGTCGGCGGCCACCCTGGGGGGTCAGCGCCTCCAGCTGCAAGTCCAGCGTGTACTCCATACCCCGAGCAGGATCAAAGCGTCGGTAGCCATTAATCAGCTGTTGCTTCTGGAGCTGCAGGGCTGGGTGGTAGCGGCGGTTGAGCTCTTCCAAGGCTGCCCCCAGGACATCGGCCACATCGGCCCTGTCAGCCCCCCGGAGAGGGCAGCGGGGCGAACCATCAGCACAGGAGAAAGCATGCTGCTCAGTGAAATAGTCCCAGCGCAGCACCTCAAAGCGAGAGGCTGGGCGGGATGGTGCTGGAATGCCCACGGGCCAAGCGGCTGCCCGTTCCCCATCAGCTGCCAGACGGCTGGTGTTCTGGATCTCCCACTGGGTTGGAGAAACAGACTGTGAGCAAGGCAGAGACCCCAGGGGCCAGCTGAAGGATTGGGCAGATGGCAGGTGGTACTCAGGATGGGTCCTGTACCCTGCCAACCTCCGCCCTGTCAGGGCCCCTACCTGTCCTTTCCCCAGATGGAGGCAGCCTGAGTTAAAAGGGGTTTTTTTCTGGAGCGGCTTCTCAGAATGGATAGAAACAAACAGGGACAGGAGGCAGATGTGTTCTGATTCTAGTGCTCATATTTTATTTCCCTGGGATCTCTAAGACCCTACATGACCTGCCACTTCATCCCCAGCCCCGACCATACCTGCAATTCCTGGATCTCCTGGTATGTGCGTTCCAGCTCAGCTCGGGCAAAAGCCTTATGCAGCTGGTACATGTGCACAGGGTCACGCACAGGGTAGGCAGTCAGGGCGCTGCGGAAACGAGGGTCCCCCTCCTGCACGGACTCCCCAGGGCTCAGCTCCAGGTAGCTATAATGTACTCCCTGGGGAGAGAAAGGGTAGGGGTCCATAAAGGGAAGAATGGTGGAACAGCCTGCCCCCCTCACCTCATAGTGTGTGTCTCATTTCCCCAACCTATGACCTGTTGTAGACTCCCAATCAGAATTCTGTGGGTTTAAGTACCTTGACCAGTTGTCAACTTGTATGGCCTGGGGCAAGCGTCTGCTTGCTCATCTATAAAATGGGCATGCATCCTATCTCAGCTGTCCAGGGTTTCAAATAAAATAATTATAGCCAATACTGAACACCTACTATCTGCAAAGCTCTCTTATTTTTTTCTAATCTTTATAACAACCCTGAGCAATAATTATTTCCAATGGTATGGGTAAGGATATTAACACTCAGGAGATTCAGTAATTTACCCAAGGTCATAGGGATAGAAAAGGCCAGAACTGGCAATGGAAACCCAGGCCTATATCTCCAACCACTCCTTTGCCTCTCAGGGGAGGTGCACAAGCTCAGATAGGAGGCACCAGTGGGGTGGATTATCTTCTCACCTCGTGTTCGCCAGTGCAGCCCACCCCAGTGGCATCAAGGATGCAACGTCCCAGCCACTCATCTGGACGCGCACTGACAATGTCATTGCGGCAGCCTTCCAGATGGGGGCGCAGCTGCTGCAGCAGTGTGCGTGACAAAAGTACCCCAAAGCCACCGTGGCAATAGCGGCCCGGGGCGGGCTCTCCACCGATGAAGTCCTGGGGCCGGCCCAGGTAGAGGTGGGCAGCAGCTGCCAGGCTGAGGCGGCCAGCTAGGCGCACCAGTCCGTGAGCCTCGGTGTAGGTGGTGTCAGGTACTAGGAAGAACCAGTCAAAGTCGTCCCCGTGCTGCTCCAGCAGGTGGCGCAGTGCCAGGTGTAGGTGGCCGATGGGCCTCTCCTCGCCCAAAGTTACCACAGCCATGCCTGGTGGTGCCCTACGGCCCCGAGAGCCTGTCAGGAACACCACGCGCTCTAGCCGGTGCCCCAGCGTGCGGTTCATGGCCACGCCCAGAGTGGGTAACGTGGCCTGTGAGGTCAGCACTGCCACCAGCAGCCTCTGCCTGATGCCCAGCTCGGTGCTGATGTAGCGGGTCCTGGGGAGAGATGGTACAAGATTATCAAAAAGACAATCGGGCCCTGGCCAGTGTGGCTCAGTTGGTTGGAGTGTAGTCCCCTACACCAAAAGGAGGTAGGACTGATTCCCCCTCAGAGCACATACCCAGGTGGGGGGTTCGATACCCAGGTGGGGTGTTTGATCCCCAGTCGGGGCACCAGCAGGAGGCAATCAAATGATGTTTCTTTCTTTGTCTGTCTGTCTCTCTCTCCCCTCCCTCTCTTCCTCTCTCGAAGACCAAATTTTTAAAAAGGTTTAAAAAAAAGTTTAAAAAAAACAAAAAAAGACAGGAGGCAGCATACATAGGCTCCCGCAGGTCATGTCCTCTCTGGGCTCCTTTCTTCACCTATAAATAGGTATAAGAAAAACAAATATCTCCCAGGGGTCATGTGGATTTAAGTGAAATGTTAGTCTTACCTACATAGTGCTTTTGGGAGGTGGTAATATCCATGCAGATATGAGAGACACATTGTGGGTGTGATCCCGTTTCACTACGTAGTAGTGTCCTTGAGCAAGTTACTTAACCTTTCTGAGCCTCAGTAGCCACATCTGAAAAATGGGGCTGACTGTATCTACTTAAAGCACCTAGGCAAATGCTTGGCTCATAGGCACTCTATACACCACGCACACAGCACTTACTTCTGTAGAAATATGCCATTGTACCACAGTGCATCACATGAATGATGTAATGGAGCACCGGCACAGGGGTGCATTGAGGGTGTTTGGGGGAGGGGCAACTGGAGCCCAGGAGCTCCAGGAACTTCCCTTCCACAACACAGAAGGCAAGCTGCAGGACTGGAACTTGAACTCGGTGTTACTACTTCAACCCATGGGCAGAGGCATTGGTGGGGCGGCTACATCACTGCTCTCACCAGTCTCACCGCGAGGTGTCCCACCCAGGGAGACGCAGGTAAATCCCAGTTCTCTCCTTTTTCTTTCCCTCTCTCCATAAACCAGTTTTTTATACCAATCATTTCTCTAAACCCAACAGCCCAGCCAGGGAGCTCGGGGGACCTCTGGGAGACCGCGGGGCCCAGCCGGCCTGGCACAGGGGCAGGTGAGTCCAGCCCAGAGGCCTCAGATGGGCTCCGGCCCCGGGCAGGGCAGGGCCATCGGAAGTCGTTCGGGCCAAAGACTTCCTGGCCGGACAGTCTCTTCCTTCCGGAGCCCGACCGGCCCGGCGGCGTCCCGCAGGCCCGTCCCGGCCGGTGCCGGGCTGCGGGGCCGATGCCTACCTGAC